TTATAATACCCTCTCAAGTCCACCTTTTGGCGGACAAACAGACTGACATGGTTAGGGGGACTTATGAGGACCCTAATGCACAATCTAAGTTGCTAATGGGTTTAAAAAAGTAATTAACTTTGGCTATTCTTAAATCATTCAGCCCTCAATTATGTAGTATACAAAATACAGCAAATTCCAAATTACTGCTCATTTGACTGGAAGATTTTGCTACGATTTTTACCATATTAAAAATTAATTTGATCCCTTATATGGCGATAAGATTGATATATACTTTTTAATAGATTTGTATAGCACATCCACACAGTTGAAGCCCACGGTTTAAATATTGAAGCCCACTGGTTAAAAATGGGTACAGGTATTTTAAAACACTTTAAATCGACCTGTACGTGAACACTTATATCAGTCATATCTGTGAATAATTATGCTTGGGAATATATGCATAATAGACAAAAACTACGGGCCGGCAACGCGGACCGGGCCAGCTAGTATATATATACTTTGTTGGGTCTGACATGAGAATTTTGAGGAGTTACAAAGGGGAAGACAAAGTTAATATACCCTCATAGTATGGTGGAGAGTATAAAAAGGGTTTTACATCTACAGAAACTTTACCGTTATTTATAATGTTATAGGGTAACGCCGACAATCCCTTTCTGCGTGTAGCTTTTGCTCATGATTTTGGTTGTGACAGGGAAGAGCTATAATACAGTGGTTTCTCAGTTTTCTTCACGTCGTGTTGAGAAAAAATATGCAACAGGAAGCTGATGTGAAATTGTATAATAAAAATTATTTTTTATACCCTCCACCATACTATGGAGGGTATATTCATTTTGTCATTCCGTTTGTAACTCATCGAAATAATGATCTTAGACCCAACAAAGTATATATTCTTGATCAGCATAAAATATTCTGTATTTTGATGATTTTAGGTACATTATTCACCGTTTATTTCAAGTTTCGAATTTGTATATGGTAATGGCTTGTGAGAAACATAGGCATTGTAGGTGCACGTAGTATAGGCCCTAATATAACGGCTATATTCGGTATTTTTAAAATGTTAACAGAATTTTTGGCAAATGTTACCTTTTTCGAAAATTTTCAAATTAGGTCTAAATGGTGGAGGGTATTCAAAGTTCGGCCTGGCCGAACTTACCGCTTTTTTACTTGTTTATAATAACTATATAAGGATTTGCTACGAAAATGAAATGGAATAAATTTAATAACAGGCCTTCCTAATACAAGACGTACCGTACGAAATTACTTACCTTCCTGACTATGGTTAAATATTTAGTGCGGGTGTATTCCCCAAATACGCAAGAGATATATCCAAAAAAATAAAGGCAAGGATAACTTTAAAATGGAATATATTCTTCCAACATCAGTCTTTTTTAGTTCCAAACCTTTTCATTTTTACACTCTCCACCTTAAAAAGAAGGGTATATTAACTTTGTCATTCCATTTTTAACATCCCTAAATATTCGTCGTAGACCCATAAAGTATATACATGGTGAAACGAAAAAACTGCAACAAAGTCAATGCCATAATTTGTAAATTTTTTTTAAATTTTATTGAATGAAAGCAAAAAATGTCGGAAGTAGCATCAAATTTTAGAATAAGTTTAGATTTGTTCGAATTGGTCACCTTTGGCACGAATTATGGCCTTCAAACGGCCAATGAAACCGTCACATGCTGCCCGAATGTTGCTCTGCGGTATTTCGGCCCATTCCCGGCGCAGCGCTTGCTTGAGGTTATCGACACTTTGGTATTGTGAGCTGAAAATGAAGCGAGGAACCACATTTTGTAACCATTCTTGAGTGGCGCGTGCTGAGTCCTGTTGGAATGTCCAAGGTCTGCGGCCAAAATGTTTGTTTGCTTTAATACACCCTCCAGAATATTTTCGCGATAATATTAGGTATTTATTCTGATGCTACGGTCGATTAATACGAGCGGAGAGCGACCTCGACTGCTATGGCAGCCCACACCATCACCATGGCCGGCGCGTGATTTCTGGTGGCCAACCGAAGGTGCACATTCTCAGCTGACCTCTTTGGCAAGTAAACACTATCATTTTGTTTGTTTACAAACTGCTGGACAACGAATGTTTTCTCATCGGAGAAAACCAAATTCGGCAGTTCAGCACTTACGGCCAAGCGAAGCAACTTTTTAGCTCCTTTGACTCTATTTTCTTTCTGTTGCGGTGTAAGTTCTTGCACTTTTTGGAATTTCAAGGACTTTACCCTGAGCTCATTTTTCAAATTCGGCAGTTCACCAGTTTCGGCGAAGCGAAGCAATTCTTTAACTCTTTTTAGTCTATATTCTTTCTGTTGCGGTTTAAGTTCTTCCTTTTTTTGGAATTCAGTGTTTCAGTGGCTTTACCCCGAGCTTATTTTTCAATATTTGACAAATTGAATATTGCGATACGTTCAGCTCACGAGCCATTTTTCGGCCACAGCGACGCGGGTTTCGATCAAACCGCTTCTTTACTCTTCCAACCATTTCTGCTGACGTTGCTGTTTTCGTACCCTTGTAAACAATACAATGAGCTGTCACTGGAATAATTTTAACAGCTGTCGGACGACAGCATACAAAAAAGTAGTAAACCTTTAAACTCTTTTTTACGTCCCCGTTTTTTCATACAAATAATAAGTAAAACACACGTGACCGGGCAGTGCATTTCTACAGATCCAAATATTAATATACATTCATATACACACATCCATTCATACACACGTATGTCTTTCACTTGCTGTGCAAAACTTAGCTTGGCATTCAACAAGTGTGGGTCGATGTACGTCATTGGGAAAATATTTTAAATAAAAAAACAAGAAATCGAATACAATTCCGTCGTATTCTCAATTACAAATCGAAACGCTCTGGGACATAACTTTCTAACAATGAATGAATTAAAAGTTATAAAAGACAAACTTTCCCAGTGGATGTTGATATTTTCATTCTCTTGTTGTTTTTTTTTTTTGTAAATTTTGCGAAAAAGGAGAAAAGAAAATAACATAATAAATATCAAATGCTAGAGAAATTCTTCAATTGCCATTGGCTAAGTTCGAAATAAATGTAACAAACGTGGCACGGGAAAAATCCAATTGTTTGGAATTGAATTACAAAGAAGTGAAATGAAATGTCCGCTTGGGGGAGGGTGAAATGAAAACCATTCACCAATGTTCACATGCAAAAGTAAATGTGGTTTTACACAAGGTTAAAATTGTATTTAATGCCAGAATATTTCAAATTTTTGACAATTTTTAGATACGGATGACCACGGCTTGCCAACGCTTTTAATATATTACAAATACAAAAACAACTACGTGGAAGGGCATTTCAATGTATTTTTTTATCTTTGTAAAAAACGGGCATTTCAATTCAGATTTGGAAGCCGTCATAGCCATCGTAATCACTACTGATACAGAAGTGATTGAGCTTCTGCTCACCATTTAGAAATAATTGTAGTAATATTTCTCCAATAAAAAACACTTCATAGAAGATACCTGTCGATTCAAAGATTGTTTTTAAAAATTTTTGATGCATTTTCAAATTAGGCATAATTTCATGAATCAGGATCAGAGGATATAAACCTCCCTGCAGAATATGTTTAAACAAATGTAAATTTACCCTGCTGCAAATTTTGTAAGATAAGTCCAAATCGCGGCACACACCTATTTTTTCTTTCTCCCTGTTTTTTTCTTGGATGCAATTGAGGGTTCTTACCCCATTCGTTTTATATGACATATACGAGTGAGATGAAAAAACTGCAAACAACCTCAGACTGCTCTCATTTCTAAGCCACTTGTCCGACAGATGTCAAAATTATTCTAGTGACAGGTGATTATATTGTTTACAAGCGTACAAAAACATTTTGGTGGCTATCGTTAGAGCACTCCAGCATTTAAATGTGAATAAATCGTTTGTGTTTCGTACCATCGCTCGTTACCGTGATACTGGTAGCGTAGCGCGACATCAAGGAAGTAGACGGAAGAAAACAGCAACATCAGCAGAAATGGTTGGAAAAGTAGAGAAGCGTCGCAGTGGCCGAAAATGGCTCGTGAGCTGAACATATCACAATATTCGGTTCGGCAAATATTGTAAAATGAACCCGGGGTAAGCCATTGAAATTCCAAAAAGTGCAAGAACTTACACCACAACAGAAAGAAAATAGACTCAAATGAGCTAAAGAGTTGCTTCGCTTGGCCGACAGTGGTGAACTGCCGAATTTGGTTTTCTCCGATGAGAAAACATTTGTTGTCCAGCAGTATGTAAACAAACAAAATGATCGTGTTTACTTGCCAAAGGGGTCAGCTGAAAATGTGCACCTTCAGTTGGCCACCAGGACTCAAGCGCCGGCCATGGTGATGGTGTGGGCCGCCATAACAGCCGATGGTCGCTCTCCGCTTGTATTAATCGACCGTGGCATCAGCATAAATGCCGAATGCTGGAGGATGTACACATTTTGTCCGCAGACCTTGGACATTCCAACAGGACTCAGCACCAACGCACTCAGCACGCGCCACCCAAGAATGGTTACAAAATGAGGTTCCTCGCTCTCATACATTCAGAAGAAGAGAAGCACAGACAATCCACAGGCATACATTGAGTAGCCGATACACCCAAAACGAGTCACTGTTTGTTGTGGATTTTGGCCGAGTCATAATTTTGTAATTTTTCTTCAAAAATGAGCATGGAGTGGCCTTTCTATTTTTGGGACATGTTGTACGAATTTTTTTTTTTCCAAAAAATGAAGAGGTTTTATTGGTAACATTTGGTTTCAACAGTTTGGCGCTACGTGTTACACACACAAAACTATACCCGATTTAAAAAAAAAGAAAAATTTCCATTTTCACAACTCCTCTAAGAAATTGCAGGACAATTCCTGCAAGAAAAGTAACTAGACACACATAATTCCTGTTAGGGCAACTCTGCTCGCTGAATATAATTTAAACCAAAAGTATATTAAAATTCAATCATCTGTGTCGTTTTTGTTTTTTTAGATGGTGGTGCCGAAAAGAGCCGCTTTATTGCTGGATCGACTCATGGTGGCCTTACATCATGCCCTGGAAAAGGAACACAGCGGTAGCTCACGCCTAACAGATTTCTACAACAAATATAACAACGGCAAGAACACTCCGACAGCGGATGATGACAAGTCCGCGGTTGACGACGACGTTCACGACGCATCGGACAAAGGTGAAAGCAATCCAAAAACGAATACGATGAATAACCAACATCGTATTTTACCCCGGTTTCTTTTGTCCAATAGAATTATATTTACACTTCTATTCTCTCTCTCGTTTTGCGTATTTCAGATGTCCCCTATTTCACCATGTACAGCGATGACGATCCATCCGTTATGATGGACTACGACTTCAAAGATCTGAACTCGATCAATCGTGCCACCGGTGAAACTGTAAGTTGGATTATTAAAGCTTAGTTGCATTAGAGATTTTCGGCAAGAGTAAGACAATTTCAGTTAATGGCACAGAGCTTTCAGAGAAGAGCAAACTTGGGCTTGGATTTGGGTGGCGATATGGGAATGGATGGTGTCTCATCACTGCTGAGCGCATCGTCGTCGGGACATGGTGGCGGTGGTCTCATAAGTGGCGTGAACAGTGCTGACATTGCAGGCGTTGGCGGCGGCGGTGGTGGTGGTCGCACCAACGGTCGTATGTATTGGCGTTGTTATTTCAATGCTGTCAGTTGTTTCTAAGTCCCCACAAATACCCCCAACAAATAAAACCAACTGACAATGGACAGGTACTTGTATACACTTATCTCTTCCTCACTTCCGCCACCGAATATAAATCAACCTAAATTAACTCTAAGTCGTCCCAATACATTTTAACTTCAAATTTTGATAAAACGTACAAATCATTCAATCTCTGTGCGTGCGTGTGTGTGTGTCTGTGTGAATGTTCAATTATGTACTAAACTTACATCACAAATTAATTATAACAATAATAAACTGAATTTGATTTATTAACCAGACTCGATGACTTTTTATATCAACGATTTATGATGGGTGATTGGCGCCCAACGTCAAATGCAAAAAAGTATTACTCCTGCCTGAATCCAGTGGATGAAAATAGTTGCAAAAAATAAGTATCGTATATCTATGGATCTATGGACAACAGCCAACTAAAATATAGGAATTAATTCATTTTTATACCCTCCACCATAGTATGGAGGGTACATTAAGTTTGTCATTCCGTTTGTAACACCTCGAAATACACATTTTAGATCCCACAAAGTAGGGTAAGTGTACCAGTAGTCGGCACTTTTAGGATTTTTGCGTTTTTAATCGCTCACCATTCTGAGTGGAACATTTCAATTATTACAAAGTTAATTTATTCAGATTCGAAATTTTGTATAGTTTTTGCAATAATAAATAAAGTTTTAGTAACTTTTTTATTAAATTTCATAAATTTGTAGTTTTATTTAAACAATGCTTTTTTGCGTGTAGTCGGCACCACTTGCCAATTGTCGATATGGTATTTTCCAACAGTCGGCATACCAATTCTTTTGTAAGAATAATTAATAATAATAATAAATTAATTCATTAAAATATAATATTTTTGTTTAGTTAAACTGATTCGACGTCTTTATTGTACTTTTCTTAAGAATATGAATTGATGAGGACCTTCACAGACAAAAATTTAATTTTTATTAGAATAATTCATCTTTTCTTAGCGAAATTGTGCACAAAGATAGCTGGCAATATATTTGAAGTAAACAAAATACATTTAGTTATAATAGTTTCTCAAATGTAGTTTACTCAAATGTATGTTATGTCTGCAGGACTTTTGATATTGAAAATGGGCTATGTAGGTCCACGTTTTGGTATAACCCCCATATAACGTTACCTCCCGATATTCGGTATTTTGATGATTTTAGCGAGATTATTCACCGGAATTGTTTCAAATTTGATATTTGAAGTTCGTAATGTATACTACAGCCTAAGACTGAAAATTGTCTGTGCAGGTCCACGTCTGCGTATAGCCCCCAAATAACGGTATCTCCCGATATTCGCTATTTTTATGATTTTATCTACATTATTACAGATTTTTTTTTTAGTTTCGCATTTGAATATTGTATAGCTTATGACAAATGTTACCTATGTAGGTCCATGTCGTCGTATAGACACTAATATGACAGCTACATTCGGTATTTTTAAGATTTTAACGTATTTAATTGTTTTTGAGTTTTGCTAAATACGTTCCAAATGGTGGAGGATATTGAAAGTTCGGCCCGGCCAAACTTACAGCTTTTTTACTTGTTTTAATTCTTTATTAAATATAAATGATAAAAATTATCGGAATTTTAACAAAAACTAAAATTTTAGGAATGTTAATGGAATGCTATGTATCCCAAATGTCGGGCAAAACCTATTGTTTGTGTCAAAATCCGTTATTTCAATTGTTGTAAGAAATATAAAATAAAAAAATGTCCGTTTAAATTGCAAAAAATTGTACCTTCGAGCGAAAATGAGAAAAATATTTGAAAATTTGGGAAACAAAGGCATTGAAATGAAAATAAACAATGAGTCTGCACGTAAAATTGATAAACAGTGGTCATTTTCAGGTTAGAGTCGGCCAATACCGAATTAATGATACCTGACACCACTATATATAATAAGTAGAGCCCTTATCTAAACGATTTAACTATTTATAACCCATTACGATTTTAAATGGGCTTCATTTGGTTTGGAACTTATACAGAGTGTTTTTTATGAGATTTTTTATTATGTTCTCTGACAGCTGTTTTGACAGTTTAAAGTGACGCCTCCACTCTGTATTGTTTGGCAAATCATCATTAATATGTTAACTCCAGAACAACGCTTTCAAATCGTGGAAGTTTATTTTCAAAATCAGTGTTCAATTAAAAATGTATTTAGAGCACTTCGCGAATTCTACAAAACTGTCCGTCTGAGGACACCATAAAGAACGTAATTACCAAATTTCAGTCTACATCCATTCTTTAGGACGCCAAGCCACCGAAAAGAATGTGTACAGAAGATTATATGGCTGTCGTTGAGGCCAGTGTAGAAGGAAACGGTAATTTATCCTTATTTCTTTAAAAATAACGAAGAACAACGCATTACCATGAATAGAAATCGATATTGAATCATGATCAAGAGATTTGTTGTTGTCAAAACTTCAAGATATGGATGTAAACGAAATGTGGTTTCAACACTTGCCATACTGCGGACGAAACAATGGACTTGTTGAAATAACATTTCAACGACAACATTATTTCAAAAAACGGACCGGTGAATTGACCTCCGTGTTCGTGTGATTTGACGCCACCCGATTACTTTTGTGGGGATACGTGAAGGCATTGGTTTACATGGACTAACAAGCAACTATTGTCGCTTTGAAAACCAATATTAAACGTGTCATTGCTGAAATATGCCCTCAAATGTTTGAAAAGGTGGTCGAAAATTGGACGTCCAGAATGACCTTTTTGCAAAATAGTGCGGGTGGCCGTATGCCCGAAATTATTTTTAAATATTAAATAAGAAGAATTTATCTACGAAATAAAATGTTTCATTTGGCCATTTCATAACTTTTTAATTTCAAATCAGCAAGGAAAATCCATGTAGCATGTGACATCTCGCACCAAATATCATTGCTATAGGGAGCGTGTAATGTTAAATATAAAATCGGATGCAACAAATTAATTGGACAAACGCAGAGTCGTTGATGTATTATTTGCATCAAATTGCAAATACATGGCGCAAAAGTAAACTCCCGATATTTTTTGGCTGCAATTTAAGAAAAACAAAACTTTCATTCTTCTTGTGAATTATTTTTATTTGTTCTTTTAGTTTTTTTTTACATCAAGTCGAGAATATGATGTCATGTAAATGACCGCCGCCACAGTCTTTTGTCATTTGAGCCCTTTTAATGGCATTTTCCATCACTTTGGCCAAAACTTCCGGCGATAGGTCCTCACAGTCCTGGCAGATATTGTGTTTAAGAGCTTAAAAAGAGTCTGAAGCTTGTTGACATAAACCCGTTGATCATTGATTTGTAGCGCTCATCATTCCGTCATCACAGTAACCGTTTGGTCCGCAACGTCTTCCTCCAGCGAAAACAACACACCATACATTGACTTTCAGCGGGTGCAATGGGTTACATACGGGTTTTCAGTGTCCCAGAAGCGTAAACTTTGGTTATTTACGTACCCGCTAAGATGGAAATAGACCTCATCACTCATCACATCACATTATTTTTGATGAAAAATCATCTTATTCTTGGTGGTGAATAAGGATGGCTGGAGCGTATGTTACACGCGATTGGCGGTCAGCAGCTTACAGCTGATGCACCATTAGGACTATGTACGGAAACATCTTCTAATCTTGTTCCAAAATTCGCTGTAAAGACCGTCGACTGATATCCATTTGCGTGGCACATCGTCTGGTTGATGTAGACGCTGCTTCCCTGACATCCTCTGCTACAGCAGCAGTATTCTCAACAGAACGGATACTCCGGGGTCTGCCACGAGTGGCTAATCGACGCAGTGATTCACCAATAGGCGATAGACGGCCAGGAAATTTGCGACGAAATCCACGTTGTGCCAAAGTCACCAACCGATTGGTCAAATAAATAGTCACCAACATTCCGCGTTCTGAAGCAGTGTGGCGTAACATTGTTAATTAACGTGTATTTCACGTGCGTTTACTACAATAATGTCAATACAGAACTGACATAAAATATATAGTATTTTCTGATAGGAGGATAACTTTTGCACCACCTTGTATAAATCGGTTGAAACATACATATGGGAGCCATAGTTAAATGTCAAACTATTTTCAACAAATTTGGCATGGTTTATTATTTTTTGTTATTTTTGTTATTGTATTCTATCACTTGATTACTTAAGTCTGGAGTATTCCCCCATTGGCACATTGGTACAGAGAGCAATGTTTTTGAAAACGAAAATGTCATCTTAGCAGTAATATTTTGTTATGGTTATTTTTTCTCTGTTTCTGATTGTTGCATTTTTATTGTTTTTGATTGCATCAATAATCTCTCGAAACAAATCACCGATTTTTCTCAAACCTCGTAAGTCTTAATATTGCTACCACTCATCTGTTATGTTCTTCACAAAAGGTCAACATTTAGATTAAAAAATAATTAAAAAAAATAATTGGCCGAATCTTTTTAAATTTTGTTCATCGCAATATTATGAGGTGTGATGAGGTGTGAAAATATAAAAATTCAATATTTTCCAAAATTATGTACACCTATCTCACATGAAGTGAAGGAAGTAATTGATGTAGTCCAAAGCTAACATGACCTAATATCTTTATATCAAATGATTGCTTAACGAAAACTTGACCTTGACCTATGTATGATGTCAAGTGCGAAAACGAGACAATATTTCACCATCCTTAAGTACATATAGGGTCAACCTCATAATCGGATATAGCCTGAGGGTATACATCTGTCGTAAAAAGCTACCGATACGTACTAACTTGCTTATGTTTAAAATAGTAAACGAGAGAAATGTGAAATTTGTTTTGAAAGAATAGCTTTTATATGAAAGAGGGCGGAAAACTATTTAAAAAAAAAACATGGAAAAACTTCAAAGTCAAGGCTGGTATATGCCAATCGGAAATTGGCGATAATGCATTTTTGGTTACGATTTCTTAAATTTGATTGCATCTTATACTATATTTCGGGTTAGGGAACGGGTTTTTAATAAAATGTACGAAAATTGGCAAATGTGGAAGACTGTTGTACGTAAAGGAACAATGCTTCTATGTATTTATGTCTCTGGAATAGGGTATCATATGGTCGACTCCGCGTGACAATAGCTCTTGTGACTTGTTTAAAAGTAATATGCAATTAGTTCTAAAGTAAATCAAACTAAGTAATACCGCATTTACATTTGCTCCAATATTGGTCGGACCAAAGAGGTTCTGATTATGCAAACAACGTTCTTATTTTTTTCACATAATCATGAAAATGCAACAA